AGACCGAGGCTTTACATTGAATATTTTATTCCTACAGTTTTCATTCCCCAGATTTATATGTAGCTTTAAGTGTTAGAGCGCTGGACTTTGTTCCCCGAGGTCCCGGGTTCAAATTCAGCCAATCACCAATGAATTTTATCCGTCTTTGTCAGACTTTCGAAGCCAGAAGTAATAACTTCACTTAATAGGAATATTCCGATTAAAAAACCTAATCAGAGTTTTAATTTACAATAATAAACCAATTTTAAATTGTTCAGTAATACAATACTGACGAAGAATTAAATCTCACCATTTTAACATAATTTTAAAATGTTTAAGATTATCTGCTGTAAAATGTTTAAGTTTTTTGACTGGTTTTTTACAAAATATTTCCAACCATTTCAGCTTCAAACTGACTTAGACACATATACGTGGCAAGAAAAGAGTCCACTCAAGATGGAAGATTGCCGACCTAAGCAGGATGGATGGCCTGTCACACTATCGGCCACTAAACCCTCACCATTGATGGTTCGATCCATCGTGCATTAGAAAATATAATACTCCATTTCACTTACCATAACATATTTCACGAACCTCATAAAATTACACCTTTTAAATATTTATTTTGATAACGGTGCTTCGGTTTGTGGTTGACTTAATTTTTGTGGCCTGATAGTGTTTTTTTTATTAGGAGGATAAAATATCATGGCTTGAATATTAGTGGACATGTTTCCTATAAAAGGTTTTTAGGTGTGGTTTATTTAATGGACGTTTCCCAAAATCTCGATAAACACTTTTCATAGCTCATATTGACGAGTTAAGCTTGATACGAAAATCATATTGTAAACATACCGAAATGACAGTGTTTTACAGTTTATACGATAAAAAATTGAAAAGAAATGTTATAAAGTAGACCATTTACAATGCAGTTTACAATGCAGTTCCGTTGTATCTGCATACTTTTCTAGATCAACCCGATCAAATCACATACACGCAGATACAATTGAATATACAATCAAAAATATACTGTTCCGCTAACAATATCTTAGAAAATTTAACAATGAAAGTCGGTAACCATATTTCCCAATTGATCATGTGTATTTTGAGATAATTAAATGCGTCATCGATGTAGCAGCTTTAGAATGGTGGGTTTCATACCGAGATGTCAAGGCGATCATATAACGACTGGAACGTTCAGGTCATTAATTTAAACCCCAATTATCAGTAACAGCTTGGCTCAACCTTACAACTTATTCTGGGTACTGGCTTGAAAACAAAATGTTGTAAGATATTATGAATTTAACAGTATTTAAGTTTACACTTTAACTGTAATGAATTTCATACTAGGTTTGATTTTGAGATTAAAATGAACGAAATGGTGCCTTTTTATATTCAATAACCGTACAAATGCAAGTAAGTGAGCATATTTAAGTGTATTACACTCAGTATTTCAGTAAAATGTTTGCCATGTTAAACCTGACACCCGATTTTTCTCAGAATTGTCGTAGTTGATGTGATGCCCCAACAGATTGTTCTGATCTAAATTACAAATTTCTTACGAATATACACTTTTTTATTTGAAAACTTTAGAAAACTTAGTAGAATCGTTTGAATTCACGATATTTATGGATAAATAAGAGGTTATTCATTTTAATATTCTGTATATTTTGTACTAATTCACCGTTTGTTTTGAGCTGTCAAGAGTTAATGCTTTCTAATCTCTGGGCTATAAATGCATTTTGTTTTTAAGACTCCTCGACATTTACATTGTTGAAAATGGAATAAATATTGTGTGATTTGATTTATTTACGTTCTAATGATACTTTGAATATTGCATCTCCAAAATTTTATTTGTCCAGGAGACTAAGTGTATTTACAGAGTGTCGGTGTAAGCGGTAATGTATCAAACGGTTCACAAAACTCTATTTACGTTGGGAAATTGTTGTTTACATTGTGTTAAAGCTGGTTCAAAAGGCACAATCTATATCGAAATACCCTGTAGTGCATTGATACGTACAACAAATAACAAAGGGAAATATCAAATAACAGGATAACACAATATTTGGCCTTAAAAGGCATGGTAAAATTTAAATGTTTTACCACAATAAATATATTTGCCTGACTGTTTTATTATTTTTGGTCATGTCCCACCTTCATATCCAGAACTCTAGTTTTACAAATTACATCAAGCTAGCTCTAAAGGGTTGCGGCATTATTACATAGATAAAACAAATTGGTGATTGGGGGGATTTGAACCCCGAGACCTCAGGCTCTGAAGCCCCGAGCACTACCACTAGACGCTCCCTGTTTAATTGACCGTGTTAAGCTTATTTATTTGAATTGGAAATTTACTCAAGAAAATGTTCAAACATGTACACATAAGATGCGTCGTTGAAGATTCATGAACCATATTCTAACATACGGATTTAAAAAATCTATAGGCCTAAATGCAATTGATATGGTTATAGTGTATGGTGGGAACACGTTAAACGGCTGGATTTTGACAATAATGATACGAATTTGTAAGGGAAACAATACAAATGGTAGAGTTTATGACAGCTTTAAATTCATTTATTTAGTTAACTTTGTTGCCTTATTTATTTCAAACAAATGGTTACGTAAAAAAGTGTGAGCGTGTGTAAAAAATGCTGCATCGAGGTAATTGCATAGAGTCAAATGTCTGAAAAAAATGTAAGACAGGAAAATTAAACTGTGTTTATAATGTGATATAGTAAAAACTAATGTATGACTTGGCACACTCCTTTGGATGTCCGGGTAGTGACAGTGGAACTGGAACTTGTAATTTTTAAACGGGGAAGTATAGAAAAAAGAAAGTTTAGGTCGACAATGAAATTAATTGCACTAAACATGGCAACGTGTTTAAGTAGAAAAATAGTTTAACCATATTGTTGGGCGTATTATAGTTGGTTTTATACAACCAAGAGAACGTATGACTAGCACAGTTGCATCTAAAATGTTTAGGGACATCTTATTTTCATTTTAGACTATAAAAACAAAGACGACTTATACAATTTATTTACCTTTATACTTATAAAAAGCTAGTGAGGGTAAACGAAGTAATATAATTCCAAATTGGGATGGTTAGCATAGTAGTGGTATGCTAATTTAAATAAACAGCTGGAACTCTTTCAAAATCATATGTGTTATGAAAGCAACAAAGGAAATAGATTATTTCCTTTCTTGTACCATAGCCAAACATTCTTTAAACATACGGAAATCCTTCACTAACACCAACAATACATTGGAACATAGATAGTTTTTGTTCATAATTTATTTGTGACTTTTGGGTAATAATGTTGCCAGTTTGCAAAAACAATAAACTAAATAAACAAAAATGTGTTAGGCATTACGGATTATTTACACAACCTGCAAACAACTAATCTTTTGACACGATGTTATGTAAACTGAAATATTTTAATTCTAGACCTTCCTAAAATATCTCACGTTTAACTTCAATGTAAGAGGATTTGAATAATTAATTGCAATTAGAATCCAGCTAAAAGATCATAAATTATTTGTAAGCCAACTCAAACACCTCGTCTGTAATTAAAAAGAAGGGGTGTCATTGTAATCGGTTCACAGTGTGAGATACAATTAAATGTTCAATTATTAGATATCGACATTATCAGTGATAGTTCCTTGGATAACTTTGTTTGATGCATGCAATTGTTAGATTGGTTTCATAATACAGTACATTATTAGTCCACTATAGAATACTGTTGAAGTCAAAACTATGCATTTGGTTGAGTAAAATGAATACTGTAAGTGTATTAAGCATGTAAAAGAATATCTAAAAGAATTGAATTGTTTAATATTTTCTTGGTGCAAAGGTGTAAATGTGACAACTACAGTAATCTGCATATACTTGTTTCAGAGAAGTTTAAAGAAAGATTATGATTTTAAACTTGTCCTACTACAGAAAGTTAAATTTTACACATCCCACCATTGAAAACACATATAACACTAGGAAACATTATTTGCAAATGTTGTAAACAGCATAAATTTAATGTTCACCTGTCATTTGTTTTTGTTTTTTCCAACTTTGTTTTGACCAAAACATATAAACAAGGTATGTTAGCGAGTTGTAAATGGTTACAAATGTTAGCGGTTTTCCCCGTGTGGTGCGATAGGGACTAATCCATACTTATTGCCCGGTAGCCAACCTAATTCTCCCAAACAAGATTAACAATCTACAAAATTTATCTACCATGAGTGAATTTGCATTTTTAAATTACTCAAAAAAACTGTTACCCGTGTTAAAGAATTTAATTATTAACAAGTAAATTAATATAATATTACAGGCCATGCAGATTTAAAGTAAAAAAATCACAAATTTCTCTTAACAATGAATAGTGCATGTGATTCAAGATATAATTGTTTACATTCCAAACTTATGTATTTCCATATGATTTGCGGTACAATATTATAAGACTTTTGCTTCAATTTTATAAGCTTTTGTTATACAACATTATTACAATTGTTGTAAAGAATTATCAGACTTTAGTTCAGCGCTTATTAGAAGTAAGTAGGAGTAACCATCTTAAAATTAATTTTAACGTACAGTACACAATCCTTTAAATTTAAACCATCAAACTTTTGGATATTGAAATTAAATAGTTCAGTTTTATTGCTCTATAATATTCAAGCAATCTTTACATTGAAAGGATTTGAGGGATTAGCAGAGATATGTTAAATTTAATTAAACTGGGTACTGAGTAGGCTATCATATACTAGAGTATATGATAAGTTAGTTTGTAGCTATTAGTATGTCCACTGATAAAAAAAAATTGTACTTTGTAAATAAAGAAATCCAAATATAAAAGAAATAAAACAATAAGTTAAGCTCTGATTCTAAAAAAAAAAAAATTTAGACCAAATGAATGCAATTTTCAGTTTCAAAATTATTTTCTCAGCTACGTTCAGTTACTAGAATTTGCGAAAATAAATTCCAAGGCCCAATAACTCTAGCATATAACCGAGATTGTAATAATACACAAAAATATTGTATGGCTAAACAGTTATTTATTGAAATCCAGGTACAATTTATTTTATAGCACAAATCAGAATCAAAAGTGAAGCATTAAACACGCCTCATTTCTTTTCCAATGTAGAATCAGCTGATATTTGTTCTTGGAAAGCCTCGACGTGCAATGTCATTTCGTAGAAGTTGTACTTGGCGTGGATTCTCCTGGAGGCCAGTTTGAGGACTTCGTTGTGATCGACTCCTGGACCTGTTTTTTCCCAAACACAAACAATGTAGTACAACACACAACAGTAGATCACACTACCTACAGTGTAAGGTCGATTGTACAGCTCACTTATAAAAAAGACAGAAAAAATAGCAAAGAGCTTAAGAAAAATATGTCCAACAAGGTATATAACAATTAATAAAACCCCAAACACGATTTAAAAATACATTAGAGAATGGAAAAAACCAAGAAATTTCCGGAAATTTTTTCCGATTAATTAAAAAAAAAAATCAAAGAAATTATAACAGTTCTTTTCAGTTGACATAATTTGAGACAAGACTGTTAAAAGCAGCTACACAAATGATGTAGTTGTTTACGTACGAATGTTTACGTTCAAAGTTCTAGGACAAGTATGCCATTAAATTAGTAGTTTGTTTCCATCTCCTGATGATTATCCTTAATTTTTACAACCTTATTTCACACTCGATGAATTCATTTTACCATTAAAAAAATATGAGGAAATATTACTACTTACGATTGTTGATATACTTGTAAATGTACGGCATGTCATAGGAACTTGACGATTAATATAATACCTGAACTCACGACAATCGATAGGTTGAGTATAAATGGGTCCAGGACTTTTCGGAATCGTATACGTTTAATAGCTTAATAACTTCACTAAAGAAAATTAAATCAACTTTAATCGCCATAGCTTTTGCGCATAGAGTTATACGAGTAGTTCAAATTAGATTTTAATTCTCCATTGAAATGAGATAACACAAATCAAACAATTATTGCATAGCTGATGCAATTTCAATTCCAAAGTGGATTTATAAGACGCTGTTCATTCCATTTTGATCATATTTGCCATTTATGTTTTGTAACTGATTAATTTATAATTCTACACCATGTATTTTAAGGAGTACTGTATCATCCATCAAGTATTTATTGGATTATTTTGATTACATTTTCCTGAAACAATCGTTATGTGATATTGAACAAGCAAAATTAATTAATGAAATTAAGATAAAGTTTAAAAAATATTACAAATTTAATGTTAACCCACCCTAAGTACGAATGTGGCCAATCATGTTAAATAGTTCTAGATAAAACAATGTTGTGCGTTCTCAAAATAGTTCATAGGTGGTAAAATATCTTATTTTAAGCCTGATTTATCCAATATGTAAATGACTCCAACGTAATCTTGGTGGCTTCCACGGTCAAAGTACGGTCGGTTGTTGCGACCAGGGTAATCTCTCTTGGTCTCTAAGAAAATGCCCTGCCGTCAACTTTGCAAAGGTTATGGTTATGTTCATTCAATAACGAAGGCGCTCGGGAATGTGGCCTACATACATCCAATGAAGACAAACCTCATTCATAGAAATAGGCCACCTCTCTGACCGCCTTTGTAATTTAAACAAACTATAGCGGCAGACTTTTGGATGCTTGCAGCGATGCATCTACGCAAACACTGAGTTGAACACAAACGTGTACGGGACAAAAAAGGAGCCTTTCCTCTAAATAGGAAGGCCTAACTAATGTTCTTGTTTATACTCACGGATCGTAAGATGAGCAGACAGTGCGATCTTGTCCAGGCTGTGAGCCCAAAGCTTCAAGTCCTGGACTTGTTGAACCCCATCAATGGTCAGGAATGTTTTCAGGACGTCGTTGAAGTAAACTCCTTTAGGCATTCCTATGAACAAATTTCATAATCGTATAACTAGTTCTCTGTCAATTGCGTTTTGTATGAAATAAATTTCAATTCTTTTAATGGAAAGCGGGTAAGCCTCTCTTTTGTGGATGTGCTGGGAATCGAACTTGTCCCTTCCACATTGAAGTCCGAGACCACTAGGCCTAGCAACAGAGAAGTACGGTACAGAGGTATCTTGCTTATGAGACGACCGTGTTCTTTCAGTTTTAGTACGGTGTTTTGTGTGGAAAATAAACTTGTGACGAGCAAGGGAGAGCCGGAACGGCAAATGATGTGCGAAAATTCCTATCGCGCAGGGTACAGAGTCTTCCTCTACCGAGCGTTGTGGTACATGAAGACAAAGGGGAGTTGTTGGACTTTAATCTAGACACCAGTGACTAGTGCTAGGCACCACTTAAGTGTACCATTGAATTTTGCCTCTGTACCTTATTTCCATGTAGCCTGGAGATGAACTTAAAATCATATGGACAATAGTAACACACCCTGATAATGAGGAAGAAGGAACACACCCTCACATTTTCTATATTGGTTTAGGCTTGAGAAAAGATTTACTGTATTGATTTAAATTAATTTCACCATTTAACTTGAGAATACAACTTTTTCCAAATAAAAATTCAAATAATCTCAACCATTCCTAAACATTCAACATTATTTAAACTTACGGGTCAACTCAGTCAGACTACTCCACAATAATAAATGTGTCATTAATTGATTACTTGCTCAAACAACAGGTTAATCCATAGCCTCCTCTAATACATATCCGTGGCGTTGGTGAGTGGCAACCACGCTCCGGCCGGCCTATTGCCATGGCAATAACAGTAAAAACAAACGTATGAACGTTATAAACCAGTACGACAGCTGTTCCGATTTGCCAGGACAGCGGTATTGCCAATAGTTTCACCGCGGCCTTGTATTAGAGCAGGCTATGGTTCTTCATTTTTGTTTTAGAATCCTCAGGCTTACCCTCGATGAGAACGTTGACAACATCTCTCAAAACAGCCAGAGTAATAACCAGCACCATAGCGGAAAACACCAAGGTACCGATGGGATCTACTATGTGCCATTCGGGCTGAAAAATAATCAAACTGTTAGAAAACAATACATCAGAGGAAACAGAAGAAGAGCAGCTAAGTAGATTATACACCTGTAATCGTCTCAGATATCAATATTGGGCTTCATAAGAATTACTACACCATTAAATCAAAGGATGATTTATGATGCAGCATAAATTGAAGTTGGAATCAGGTCGTCTTGTCTCTATGGGAGTTGAATTGATATCTGATATTCTATTTGCATATTTATGTAATAACATACAAGGGCCTATTAAGTACCTATTAAGAATGCATTGAGTTGGGAACTACGCTTGGATCAAATTTACCTATGATTTTATTGTAGATTGAATCAAGTAACATTATGTTTCATCGTATTTAAAATTATTATTTAAAATAGTGAGATTATAATACAGGGTGGTTCTAAGTTATTGTTACACTTTTTAAAATCTATAAATGAAAAACAACCTATTACAATCTATATACAATCTAGTATCATGGAATGAGAATTAATTGAAAGAGGAGATTCTAAAGTTTTGTTTGACACCCCTTTGGTAAACATAGCTGCAAAATTAGCCTCTACAGACATATTTAGAATTTAACAAAGATTTTTAAATTAATCCCAGTTTTCATTTAAAGTTGACGGCACGTTTGAGTAAATAACGGCTGTCTATATGGCATAAAAAACACCATATTATTTTTTCCACATACATTTGGCTTTTTTACTTACATTTTGAGAAAGCAATTCGTTTTATACCAAAACACTGAATAAAAACAGAACACAAACTTAAAAGAAATCTTATTTCATAGCCATGTCAAAGGAGATATGTTCACATTTTATGTTGATATTTTGTTACACAACAGACGATGACGAGTACTTTGATAAAAAAACCCTAAGCTGAACAAGAAGTCTATTAAAAACACACAGCAATGCAGAATTTAAACTTAGAAGAAAGATTTCTTGATAGCTATGCTCTTGGAGATATATTCCAAATTTGGAGTTCTACAGGATTATATTCATACAACACTCGATCACAAGTACCTTCATAGAACATCCCGAACTGAAGAAGAACTAGATTAAAGATACTCTCATAGAAACACAGAGCTTCAACTTAAAAAAATCTTACTTGATAGTGATCTTTTAAGAGGTTGATAGGTTACTCACACAACAGTCGATGAAGAGCGCCGTGATAAACACCCCCAAACTGAAGAGGAAGTCACAGACGATGTGGAGGAAGGCCGCTCGGACGTTGACGTTTACGATGGGAGCTTCCGCGGGGTCGTGGACTCCGTGACAGCTACGGACGTGACAGTTGTTGTGGAGAACCATCCCCATCCTGGAACAACGATCAACTACTAAAGTTAACCCATTTTAACCCCCCTAACCTAATATTAAGCCCTCTACACTGAAGTTTAACCTTCTACAGCTCACTCCTCTAGACTACGCTTTGACCATCTAAAATTCAACCCTATACACTTCTAACTTTAGCATTATGGGAACGCCAGGTAAATACATTCATGGGCACTCCCATATTGCTGAGAGTATACGTTAAACACTCTAAAGATGACTCCTCCAGGCTACCCTCTCTAGATTTAAGTTTAGACTTCTAAACAAAAGCTCAACCCTTTAGGCTAACTTTAAACTGTAAACTAAAGTACACACCCCTTCAGATTAAAGTTTAACCCTCTATGGATTTTTTAAACATAGTTAAACTCTGTAGACCACCTAAGGTAAAGTGGAACCTTTTAGGGTAACTTTAAGCCCTGTAGACTAAAGTTCAACTTTCTATACTAAAGTTTAACCCGTTAGACTAACATCAACCTCTGTAGACTAGAATACACACCTATACAATAAAGTTTAACCCTGTAGGGTCAAGTTCAATTCTCTATACCGTCTAGAGCAATGTGGAACCTTTCAGGCTAACGCTAAACTCTGCTGACTAAATTACAGCCCTATAGGTTAAAGTTAAACGCTCTAGGTTGAAGTTTAACCCTCTGGAACGAAGTTTGACCATTTATACTAACGTACAGACTAAAATTCATAAACTAAATTTAAAATCTCCAGATTCACGTTATACCCTCTTGAAAGAAGTTAAACTCTCTAGATCAAAGTTAAACCTCCTACACAAAAGTGTAATACTCTAGATTAAAGCTCATTCCACTTGGCAACAGATATTTAAATTAAATGTTATACTATCTGTTTTGCAAAAGTGACAACCAACTCTGTTGATTCTCAAGCTATCTCATTAATAAAGATTTTCATACCTTGCATTTCAGTTAATACACCGATGGACTTTTTTTGATTATAATTTAATTATAACCTGTAAGCTAACGAATGAATAAATGATTTAGGATTGCTACAGAAATTACATTCTCTCAGTGGTAAGATTATTTAAGATAACTACTTTTAATATTCCTAAACTCTAAGGTAATCTTGGTACTAAGAACATCGTTTGATGGCGAATGAAATATTCATAATAATTTTATTGAGGATGTTTAAGGAAGTTTAAGATGATTGTCTTACCTGCATAGGTATTTGTGTAAGTCGTATTTGACCAAGCAACACCTATTGTAAATAAATTGTGTTAGTAGGGACCTACTTCATGCAGTGGGAGCTTTATAGTTATTCACCCAAAGCAAGGTTTTATTTAGTAAAAAGACCTTTTTTAAGTAGAAGGATAAAATCTGTAATTCCACTTAATAGCGATGGCTTTAACGATTCTGAATATAATCTGGGTTAAATAATAATTATAGATTTTGTTGTTGGGATATTGTTATAGATTAAAAACACAATTACTCTAAAATACCTTATTTTAAAATCATGAATCATTTAGGATTGCAGGAAAGCAATGTTAGCTATGTAACACTTCACCAATTTTCCAAAAGGTTTTTTTTTAATACAGAGCTAGTTCTAATAGTACAATGGTGAAAATCTTTTAAAATGGTGGGAAATTTCTTTACTTACACTAAGTTAGCTACAACACCGAACGCCGAGGTGGCCAACATCATGTCAACGTCGATTTCGAACTTCTCCTTCACCAGCCGCTGGTAGGCGACGTACATGACGATGCTGGTGAGGACCCACGTGACCAGCACGGAGGCTAGAGCTACCACGGCCTCCACCTGGTACCAGGTGAAGCCTGAGGCCGAATTAGGCCGACGGCCTGACACCCGGATAGCGAACAAGGACACCATCATAGTAGAGAAGACAGTTAGCAACTGGGCGGCGTCGGCCGCAATCACCAAACTGTTGGAGAAGTAACCTCCTGCAAGAATGGAAGACTTGTTAGTATGCAAATAACATTGAATCGGCAATAGGATATTCTCCAGAAAAGGGTTGCTACCATGGCCTTCTCCAAAGGCCGCGGCGAGACAATAGTATATTTCGTACCTAGGGCCGAAGTGAGGTTTTGCTGGCTCGAGATAGTTTTTAAGTTCGAGACGAAGTTGAGAACTTAAAACAATCGAGAGCGGCAAAACCATTTCGGTCCGTGGTACGAACGCTATTTTTCACCACACTATACCCTATTACCACTATTCACCACAATAATAATGCACACTGATAGTCAACACAACTACAACTTTAAGGTTATGTGAAGAAATAATTTGAGGAATCAGCAAAAACAATAATAAATAGTTGCTAGGCAGCGGTGACAATAAAATAATTATATTGCAATACTATGGATACTGATTGTGTATTTAATATGCATTCATGTTTTAAGAAAGTAAGCGGGCAGCTGATTTCGCGGCCCTAGGGATGTAAAAACCTGCTCGGTCCCCAAATAACGATGACAGCCTGGTATGGACAGCAAAACGTAAGTTTCAGCCACCAATTAACGTATGTAAAACTGCTAAAAACGCCATAGTGTGGTGAAAAAGTTGCAACGCCGCACGCAGTACCGGCCTACCGAAACAGCTCTTGCACTTATTAATAATGGTTTATCTGTACAATGTTTTTGTTTACATGTTTGTTATTACAATAGGTCGGCCGGTAAGACGTTGTCACACCAATGACTTGGCTTTATATTTGAAGAGAGTATGTTGCTACTAGTAAAATTTGTCCAATGTAAATTAAGGAGATTTAATTGTTAAATAGTCATGTCTATACATGTAATAACTCTGAATGAATCGTTTTACTTACATTTAGTAAGGTAACGAACCTAACCTAACCTTTGACTCATCACATCAGTCATGTAAAATAAACTGTAGTAACTTGCATTGACCTAGAGTTACCCTAACCTACCTAACCATTACCTTTTCCATCAGTCTTTCCTAAAACACGAATCCCTGATACATTTAAACTTCAAATGGCTTAAAAAGTGGGTGATTCAAACATATTATATAAATAATAAAGTAAAAAGCCACACTGGGAGGGCAAACACGCTGTTTTTCCCCTTGCATTGATACATTTCTTGGTCACACCCTATACTATGTTGGACTCTATGGAGTTCATGATGTGAATTCCGTTGTTAGAATTTATCTTTGCTTTCAATTATGTATAGGAGTGTTATGGTCATACAGAGTCTGTAATTGATCAATGGAGTCTTGTAAAAATCAATGTAATAGAATACACAACCTATCCTTTACTCATAATATTTCATTTCCCCTTTCTAAAGCATATATATCACATGTATTTGAATATACTAGAAATTCTTACTTTCTTTACAAAATTATGTATTTTAGATAAATAAATTGATTTTTTAAATATTGAGTTTATTTCTATTAACTTACCTGTTGTGTAAAACACTATTCTAACTAGTATTATACAAAACAAAACTCGTCGTATTTTGTAAGCTGCACTCGAACATTTTAAAGATATCTCAAGAACCTATCTGAGATGTTTAAAGTCATAACCTGTTCATTACCTGCAAACTCCAGTGCTATAAAGATCAAACAGATGATGCTGGCTGAGATCAGCCTGTTCCTTACTTCTTTGTTTTTTCTCTCCCCTTCCTTTTCTCTCCCACAATATTCATCTTGTACTGAAAACCAATTACAAGACTTAAAACCTCGATATTTCCCATGCTTAATTTTACAAGGCATATATATTAACATATTTTTGTATAATAATGTTTAAAAGTATCTTTACAAAATTGAGGGTCTAAACTTAAGATTTGTTTTCTCCAAATATATATTTTGGTTATTAAGGCCAGTTAGGTATGTTTTAAACTATTAGGTATATTTACAAGGGTTATGCATTAACACATTTTATTTCTTCATTGCATAATATAACAGTTAACGAAAAAGCAAACATCGTATCATTTGTTAATGTGAAATGTGTGAATGTTTTAGAAAAGCATTTTCATAGACATACATTTATGATTATTTTTGTGTCATTGAATTCATTCTAACATCATATTAAATATAACTGACGTACGTTATACAGCCCAAACTGGACGATTGCCAAGCTCATTTAATAGAAATATTAATTTTATAATGTAATATGTTTTGATTAGATTTCTTACTGCAGCTAATATAGTAAGTTTCATGTTTAGTATTCTTAAAACAATCAACAATGATTGGGGTAATAATATGTAGCCTGATATTCACAGAGGTTGATAATCAAACAGTTCGTAAGGCTATATGTGAGCATTAAGTGCATTGACTTTTGTTTATAGTAAGTTGTTAGGGGGTGAATTCGACAACGTTGGTTTATTTAGACGATATATCTACCCTATCCAAAACACAATAGTGAAACTTAATAGGCTTGTTTCTACTTGTTCCATGGTTACCTATAGTGATGGACTCGGCCAACCCCTCTTTAGTTCTTGCGTACTCCCCGATGGGCTGATCCCTTCCGTTGAACACTATCTTGTGCACGCCCAGGTCTCGAGGCTGTTTCTCAGGAACCCCAAGGACTACGGGAGGCTTCTCGAAGTTCGTCGTTACCGGAGGAGCGTTCTCTTCGTCACTCATTTTGCTGTGGTTGTCTTACTGAAATTGGCTGGAACAGATGGTTGCATTTGTGAGATGTTATAGTATTTTTTTAAATGGGCATGTTGTAACTACTGAACTAGAGATACAACTAGAGACGTTGGCCACCATTTGTATTAGGGGATAAAGAATATTATTGTACCATGATTGTACTTAGTAAACTTGAATAAAGAAATTGTGGGATTGTACATACATAAAACCATGAGCCAATGATTTGATTTCTCTAGTTGGTACCAACCTAACAAAATTATATCGTCTTTAGTAGAGTTTCCGGGTCAGTTGGCTCCAGTTGTATTTCTGGCTCAGAGTATATACTCAACATTAGGGACTTAATTGAAGGCGTTTGCAAAATGTTCTGGGATTCGTTAGTAAATTAACAATAGAAGATTTATTTAAAATATTTGTTAGTAAAAGGTTTTTTAAAATCATCGGACAGCTATGTACAGTTTCGAACAATCAAAAAGATTGTGACTTAACATTAAGATCGAACCATAAACCATTGTTGTTGGCGAGCACGATAAATACCAAATTGGCTACTGAGACATGTTTTCGCATATCAGAATTTTATCCCTCAAATCGAAAGGGACTGCTTATCTATGTACAGATAAAAAAAAACATTAGTTTTATTCATTCTGAAAGGAATTGACGATATGATAAATTATTTTGTACAAATTGAGCCTTAGATCTGATATTAAAATAAAATACCAAGAGCTGTAAAATTCATTCTTTCTTTTATTATAGTTTGTGACTAAGCCATAAGACCATAAGTATAGCAAATGTTTTGATTTACATCTGATTTGTTGTGATTGCAAATAAACTCTTAATTGGTTTGATTGAAAACTAAACTGGAAGAAATAAGTGTACTTTATTCTTTTAACTTAAACTAAATTCAATTTGTAAAACTAAATACAATTCTTAACTCATATTTACTAATTAATAAGACACTTTAAACTAAACTACTAAACTTTATTCAACTAACTAAATTTATATACCCGCTTCCACAATTAAGCTTCTTACTGGACAAGAAAAAACTCAATCCTCATCTATAATTTCGCGTCATAGTTAGTTCAGTAACTAGCTTAATATTTCTTTTTTAACGTATGATCGACGAATGTTTTAATTTTATTTCAAGTAACCTCACTCGTTGCACTTTGGTTGTCACACTTAAATTGGCCAGACCTAGATGGCATTGTATGATATCTCGATGCTACACCTTACCTATTGTACAAAAATTGTTTGATTGAATAAGAAAGCAAATGTGAAGTTAGGATACAATTCTTATACTTTTTGATATTAACTCTGGATAAACCATTGATCATTACAGGATATAAAGCTTATTCCTTATAAAAAAAAATGGCTTATTAATTCATTATTTAAACCGAATATTTCAGACTCTTCAGTAAAAACCCCTTTAATTAAGTGATATCTGACCAAATGTTCAAAAACTAATAATTTACACCTTCACGTTATATAAAAAATAGAAAAATCGTGCCTCATGCTATTTTAGTATAGAAATAAAAGCTGAATAATTCGAAAAAAAGTAAAACACAGAAATATGGCATCAATCTACGAACTAATAACATGCAGTACCTTAATTACAATTAAAATAATTTAGAATCAAAATAACAGTTTAAATATATTTAAGGTCCTTAAAAACTGATTTGTTATTTCTCGTCTTTATTTATCTGGTTTAATAAACTACTTATTACTCATCGCACATAGTTTTCTCAAATGAATAACTTGGTTAACTAAATTAGCTGTATTCATGCAGTAACAGCTTACACAAAGTTTGTGTCATAAATATGCCGTTTTAATTGCAAGAAGCTGAGAGTAATGAAGAAAACTAATTACAACGGAAGCGCCACGATGATGGAAAAGTAAAATGTGGTAGGCGGGAGTTTTATCATGTAACACTCTCGTTGTAGCCGTGGCGATTCTCTAAACAGCTGATTTTAAAATAATCTATTTATTTGAAAATAAGTCAAGCAATACGCCGATTATAATATTTGCTAATTGTTAGTTGTGGTAGGTGAGAGTTTTGTCGGTAAGAGACGGATAAAAAACAATCGTAGACTTATTTGCATCTGTCCGTACAAAGTGTCTAGTAGTTCCAATCAAACCCAGCCATATAAAATATTAAATTAGATACTTATAAATTTACTTTGAGAAAAAAGAAAATTAATAATCCACATGTTTGATTTTGTATGGAATTTTGCCCATCATAGGACTACAATGCGAAATATTTTTTCTGACACATACTTTAATATTATCCTCTACAATACTTACTTCAAAGTTTAAAGATGATGCTGCATTCTCCAAAGGCACAAAAATCCAAATCCGTTTTTCACCACAGCAATATGAACGCGAAACTCTGACCTCATTCACTCACGGAGAGTGTATAATATCAGGTACAACTCTGTTATCAATAAAGTTTTATTGTTGTTCTGTCTTCGTTATCAGTTCACAGTGAAGGTCAAAGCCTAGAGAAAAGTCTCACAGACCCGGTACGATCGTCAGAAATATGCGGTGGGAATATGTGTTATCATTGCAGAGTGGACATACATCTGTGTTACGTAAAAAACCAAAGAAGGTGAGTTCATTTTGTGTTCTGAGATACGTTAACTTAAACGAAGTTAACCATTATTGACATATCACTTGCTGTGCTTTATACCTTTAAAATCTGAAAACAGGTTGTTTTGTGTTATCTAAATCGTGTAACATTTTCAAAATCCACCATTGTATGAAAATAAACTTAATTTGTTGATAAAGGTTACCTGTTACATCGTCCAAGAATTTGTAAATAAAATCAGCTCGAAGAACAGTGATCTAGTCTTACTTAATATGTATATCAAACTGTATTATTGGTTAGTATTGTATAAGACTTCTGTAAAGAGTTCTTAAGTCAACTTTTATTGAATGAAGACCTAGCCAATACAACTTTTAAAGTTATTATATTGTCAACTCTGAATCAATAAATGAGTTAATTTGATTTAGTTAATAATCACAGGTAAAAGAATCTAACAATTCACACATGAACTGGCCTTTTTTCAAACATAATTTAAAACCTGTCAGTCCACACGTAGATATACAAAACATTTATTTTTTGCTACAAAATCTCAGGTAATCATCTATTCTAGGTATTTTTGAAGCTAATTATTAAGTTATATCAACATCTTGTGAATATCTTTCTGTATACATACAGCGTGTTTTTATGTTGTTGTGTGTACACTAGTTGAAACTGTATGCAAAATTCATAAGTGTTCTTATTTTTTTTGCAAAATACGTAAAATATAAAAAGTACTTTAGGATATTTTACTCTTACGATCTAATTAACCCTTGAAATCAGGCCAAAACGTTTTCATCTAAATGTAGAAATGTTTGAAACCTCCATCGTACTCTTGCAAGAGTGGTGCTTGAATGTATCCTGAAAGGAATATATAAATATCAACGGAACTGGCAGTAAAAGAACCGAAGAGCGTTTCTGTGTTAGGGAAACATCGAAACAGTGGCATTTCAAAGCTCAGTCCCAGGGCCGTTTGTATAAAGTTGGGCGTCTTTTTTGACGCTACATCTTGACAAAAACCCATCTGAACGGTTTTCATAAAATAAAATCATGCATGTTTTTGATTGAAAACGTTCTAGTAGTGCCAGTGAAATAAGGCAATTGTATATGTTTTGAAGGTTTTATAAATAATCACGGTTCAGTTAAAGTGATCCTGAGTGAATTAGTGAATTACAGATTATTTTGTTTTACGAAATGGTGCTTATTACATAGATCTAATCTGGGAAATAAATCTTATTGATGTGAAATTGTTATGAGTTAACGTATTATAACTTTACCATTCGAAGTACATACATATTTATATAATTTAACCTTAATAATAAAGTATTAATAATATTATTACGTAACCATAATAATACTGTATTCGTAAAATAAGTAATATAAACTATCTAATAACCAATTATCAGCTTCAACTCAATTTTATGGGAAAACACGTAGTTGAGCTACAGTAAGGAAGGGAAACGCTCAAAATGATATATTTACATCCAAACACGTTATGATTTAAACACGGTTCAGAAAATCTTGCAATTTTGCAAGCAATTGTGATTTTTTTTAACAAACAAAAATTACAAAAACTGTGCGACCCTTGAAAATAAAATAAGTTTTACAATATAGCAAGATTACAAGATAAGATATTTATCAAGAAATATGGTATTTTGTAAGGGTAAATTTTGTAATTGCGGATTATTCAAAGTCGTCAAACTTTTTTAGGGTGTTTATCAATTAAATACTATAGAAACTAACCCATAAACATTAATATTTATGTACCAGTGTAATTTAACTTATATTAATATACTAATAAGTCATAAATGTATTTTTTCGTGCCACCTAACATAATTGCAAAAATACTTAATTAATTAATACTTGCGGTCTATGTGTTTTTGGTGAAGTAAGCTTAAAATCTTCAAATTACAAAAAATCTCATAATGTAATAAACAATAATAACACTAGTTAAGCGATGAATGTAATTATAGAGCAAAGCAAACAAATGTGCTCAGCCACTTTGAACCATTAGTTTCGATTAAGCATACATCTATTAACTACAATTAGTTTATAAATACATTTAGTCCTGTCGACCCAACAGTAACCAACCAAATTGTCTATTTTTCATTTATTTAGCATCAGTATTATCTTCTAAAGAGATTTTCACATGATACGATTCAATGTAATGGACCTGAAACGAAAGAGTGATGTTTTACATATAGTTAGTTTTATACAGACAAAATAATAAATTTGTAACAAAACATTTAAATCTTCGGTTGACACTACATTTACTAATATCAGTCAATGAATACCATAATAACTGATACTAAACGGATATATTTTGATAAAAAAAAACTACAAAATAAAACAGAAATAGGCCTGATTGAAAATTACATTGTTTGTTACTAAACCATTCAAAGAAAACCTTATAAAATATGCCTCTTAAATATAGTTACCCATTTGTAAAATAATACAACTTCGTTTTTTCTTATTTAACGCATTTTATGGTGTTCTCGGATAGTAAATGAAAATCTAAGACTTTTTTATTCTTGAGTACAGAGTTTTTGATACAGAGAGATAATAAAGTTTTAATTTAGTCTCTCTAAACAGCTGTTATTGACCATTTACATTGCCAGCTGTTTACTAGCATTGTTGTAATAATAAACAATAATACCTAACCTGTACATAACCTGTGTAACTTCCAGTCTGAGAATATTTGTTGTTCACCGTACCATTTATTTACAATTTCTTGTGCTTTTTTAGTTGTCTAGTTTTTTTTATTGTTTTTCTTTTTAATAATAACAGCTGGCAAGAGAGACTAAATTAAAACTTTATTATCTCTCTGTAGCTCGTAACCAGTTGAGTATGTCAAAAGTTACTTACGTATAAAAAAGTCTTAGATTTTTCATTTACTATCCGAAAACACCATAACATACAGCTTATTCCATAAGGATATTGGAAAATGGCGGTTATTTACAATTTTTAAACCTCTTTTAAAACAAGGGAATGTTCCCCTTTTAAGATGTTGTTACTGTAAGATGTATCGTGTACAAGATCCTAATGGTGGAACAGTTAAAAAAAAACACCCTGTATAGTGAATTTATGGTTAAAATTGGGACGTTAAAATTTAGAATTAGAATCAAATCAGGCTATAATAAACGACCATTCCAACTTATCTTAACAAAAAAACCTGCGCAAAAGCTAAAGAATCTGAATAGCCATAGATATGCATGTCGAACAAGAACGATCCAATCAATATACAATCATTCGTGTCATGTTTCCAGCACACAAACGTTAGCACACATTGACAACATTATGGGTTAAGTACACAACGTCTTGTTACTAAAAATGATGTAGGCAATTTCCATTTGTGTATTCGGACAAGATTTTCCTACCACCATAATTAATTTATAATAGCACACCGATTAACTTTTTATATGAAGTGTGAATTAGGTTATTTTTGCTTTTTTGATGCTACGTTATTTGCTTGCCAACTTATTTCTTTGATGTTAACTAACTTACCTGATCCGTGCTTGTGGTTGCTGTAGAAACGACCACTGTATAATCAGAGCGGGAATGGATCATTCCCGCTCTAGATCGTGAACGAGCTATTTTGCGTACTGTTTACAGGTATGGCAATGTGGTCATTTCCATGCAGTAGTAGGAACAAAATTGTACTCTTATTTTTACGTCAACTCTCTTTTTTCATAAATATTCTTGTATTAAGAGTAAACTAAAATTCCAATTTAATATCAGATCAGAGCACTGTTGATGAGCATTATTTAATTATGGTTATCAGCTATAATTGGAATTACATTAGCTTATTAATGCGTTAATGCAGCTCTGTGTTTTGCAAACAATGTAAATTAGTTATTAATTAATTGAATTGACGATATTGCCTATAACTTCAGACAAACATACGTTACGCAAAAAAATGTTTTTGTTGAGGAGGGGTTTAAATATTAATACTGTAATATGGTATTAAATTATGCATGAGGATAAATTATGGAAATACCTAGTTTTATAATTTACCTAACTGCACTATCTTGGTTGGAAATGAACAGGATGTTGATTTTATTTTGATCCCCAACAATGATTATTCTTGTACATTAGTAGACTATTTATAAATAAAATTACATACCTTGATGGGTGCATTCAGGGTGTTTAAGGAAATTGTATTCATGTACAACAATAATTTGACATGGTTTTGTAACTAATACCCTAAGTGGGTAACTTTGTATGTGATGTAACTAATACTAAGATATAAGTTAAAAACATCTCATAATTACCTATTTTACGTACTTCGACAGTAGATAAAAGAAACATATAACTTAACTTTAATTATCATATGCTGTTGACGCATAACATGGCGTATTAGCTTAATCCAATTTAAGTTAACAATACGTCACAGTTTTTAAAAGTGAAACACCTTAGTTTTCATTTAGTAAACATATTCAATGTGATGTCGCACTCTTAACATTGGTAAATTTAACCATTCCACTGAAAGCTCTTTAAAAGAATCTGGTAGAAAATCGTAAAAACCCGTTTACGAATATTTCCTAGTAGTTTTGTCGAAAAGTAGGTTGGCTAGGACGTCGACTATAGTGGAACCCCGACATTATCCAAACGACCAAAGGGCGTAAGTACTGATATGTCTTTGCCGATGTTGCCCAAACACAGAAACCCACTTCAGCACTTTAACAGCAGACCGATTCATACAGGGTGAATAAAAAGTCAAGACTCCCCCCTCTAATATTTTTCCAAGTAAATATACAGAGATATCCTTTTGGTGGTCGAGCAATATTAGCAGGAAGTTTCATTTTATCATTTTGAAATTTTTGAGTGTCCCCCAAAAGG